CCCCATATTCTGAGAAAGTCCTTTCACAACATGTCATGATCATTCAGTAGTGTATAATTGAGAATAGCCTTTCAATCAACACATCATCATTAACATAATCATAGAAACTTCCTTCAGTTTTCATTCATGAGTGTGTGTATATGTGAGAATAACCTTTCAACAATAACACAAATGCATTCTAGACATAATCACATTACTTCCATTGAAATCATAAAGCAATTACATAACACCATGATCATACTTCAACATTCATGAAATTGCCCTCCAAGTCTATGAATCATAGTCAAACCTAACATCTAGAATACTACATTAGATAAGGGGAATATCATGATTCAATAACTAATTCAATATAGACATAATCAATTCAATATACTTCCATAATCAATCAACCCAAACCAGAATACACAATTTAGTATTTAGGGTGAATCATGGGTTCATAGGGAAATTCCATAGTTAAACAACATTAATTCATGAATTCAATCATAATTCATCATATATAAACCTTAGAAAACGTTTTGTAATTGAACCCATACTTAGATTGAAAAACTAGCTTTTTGGGGGATTTTGGAAACTTTGAAATCATCTTTTGAAGGGGTTCCTTGATGAAACTTAACCAAGGATGAAGACTACCATACCTTGATTGAAGAAACTCCACGAAATTGTAGAGAAAATATGAAATCTTGAGCTTCAAACCTTGACTCCTTCTTCTCCAATGGTGGTTTCTACAGAGAGGATTATTTGGAGAGGTTAGTTTCTATTTTTGAGTTTGGGAAAATAATGAGTTGTAAAAGGAGTGTAATACTTTATAAATCATATAAAACAATATAAACAATCCCAACTCATAACTAATTAATTAGGAATTTAATAAGTTGCCCCTCAACTTGGCCGAGATTGGGCAATTTCAGTGATGACCTACGCCCCTAGATGTACAGATCGTAGGTGGGCTCACGCCCCATCCTTCTGGTCTGTAGTTTGGGTCATCAAGTCACCATCTAGAGGTTTAGACCTATTACCATGCCCTACGGGATGTGGATGGACCTTCACCCAGTAGGTCCCATCCGTAGGTCATGACAATTTTGATAGCTTTTGTTATTTTGGGGCAGCCTTGGGGTTAGGCTTTAGGTTCCCCCTCAAGGACCTTTAGTTGGTCCTTGGGGGGTCGTACCTTGATGTTTAACCCCTAAAACCCTCAACCTAAACTCGGGAACTCATTTTACAACATAAAACCTCACATAAACTCTACAACACACTCGTTAGACTCTAGTTTAACCTATTCATTTTTGGGGTCGTTACATTATCTACCCCTTAGGAAAATTCATCTTCGAATGATACTTTAAAAACTTTATGTAATTAAAGACTCAAGATTAGAAGACCATCATGTATGAAATATCATAAACAATGCACAAAACTAGGAGGAAACATCAACTCCATCACAAACATACTCCATGAAACACAAGAAGTTAGGAACTACATCTACAAACTCATTATGCATGAAAACTTCAACATTTCTCATTTCATTGGAGGAATCACCTTCTCCAACTCAAAGCATGATCATCATAACATCATTAAGCACATTATGCAATTACTCTCAAAAGCATATTTAGGCATGTTCAGCAATTTACCTCATGAAACATATAGACAACTAATACTAAATGCACATCAAAATGAGGGATAAAAATCATGAAAACTCATTCTCTCATTTAAACATAAATTCATCAAGGACATGCATATCATAAGGAGACCATGGAAACACAATATCACACATGACTCCAAAACATGTAACAATCCAAAAAGGAACTTTTTGTCTTAGGCTTGAATAGGATTAGAAAGAAAGAGTATGAGGATATCGGGACTTTTCATTGGCCCTTGGACTCCCAAGTAGCACCCTAAACTCATGGATGAGTATGCATCTCAAACCCAACATTCATTTATTAGATAACTCATAGATTCAAAGATGAGAATAGACTTTCGACGAAGAATCCCCATACTGTGAGAAAGTCCTTTCACAACATGTCATTATCATTCATTAGTGTACAATTGAGAATAACCTTTCAATCAACACATCATCATTAACATAATAATAGAAACTTCCTTCATTATTCATTCATGAGTGTGTGTATATGTGAGAATAACCATTCAAGAATAACTGAAATGCATTCTACACATAATGACATTACTTGTATTGAAATCATAAAGCAATTACATAACATCATGATCATACTTCAACATTCATGAATTTGCCCTCCAAGGCTATGAATCACACTCAACCCTAACATCTAGAATACTAAATTAGATAAGGGGAATATCATGATTCAATAACTAATTAAATATAGACATAATCAATTCAACATACTTCCATAATCAATCAACCCAAATCATAATACACAATTTAGTATTTTGGGGGAATCGTGGGTTCATAGGGAAATTCCATATTAAAACAACATTAATTCATGAATTCAATCACAATTCATCATATATAAACCTTTGAAAACGTTTTGAAATTGAAATCATGCTTAGATTGAAACCCTAGATTTTTGGGTGATTTTGGAAACTTTGAAATCATCTTTTGAAGGGGCTCCTTGATGAAACTTAACCAAGGATGAAGACTACCATACCTTGATTGAAGAAACTGCACGAAATTGAAGAGAAAATATGAAATCTTGAACTTCAAACCTTGACTCCTTCTTCTCCAATGGTGGTTTCTAGAGAGAGGATTATTTGGAAAGGGTAGTTTCTATTTTTGAGTTTGGGAAAATAATGAGTTGTAAAAGGAGTTTAATTATTTATGAAGCCTTAAATAAGTGAAATAAAACAATATAAACCTTCCCTAACTCATAATTAATTTATTAGGAATTTACTAAGTTGACCCTCAACTTGTCCGAGATTGGAAAGTTTCAATGGGGAGCTACTCCCATTCACCTACGGACCGTAGATGGGCTCATTCACCGTCCTGCTGGTCTGTGGTCTGGGTCAGCAAGCCACCATCTAGAGGTCTTGACCTACGCCCAAGCCCTCGGGGTGTGGCTGGACTTACGCCTAGTAGGTCCCATTTATAGGTCATGACAATTTTGACAGCTTTTGTTCTTTTGGGGCAGCGTTGGGGTTAGGCTTTAGGGTCACCCTTAGTTGGTCCTTGGGGGGTCGTACCTTGACGTTTAACCCCTGAACCACTCAACCTAAACTCGGGAACTCATTTTACAACATAAAACCTCACATAACCTATACAACACACTCGTTAGGCTCTAGTTTCACCTCTTCATTTTCCGAGTCGTTACATTATCTCCCCCTTAAAAACATTCAACCTCTAATGACACTTTAAACACTTTAGGGAATTAAAGACTCAAGAATAGTAGCCCATCATGCATGAAACATCATAAACAATTTACAAAACTAGGAGGAAACATCAACTCCATTTCAAACATACTCCATGCAACACAAGAAGGTAGGAACTACATCTACAAACTCATTATGCATGAAAACTTAAACATTTCTCATTTCATTGGAGGAATCACCTTCTCCAACTCAAAGCATTCTCATCATAACATCATTAAGCACATTATGCAATTACTCTCAAAAGTATATTTAGGCATGTTCAACAATTCACCTCATGAAGCATATAGACAACTCATACTAAATGCACATCAACATGAGGGATAGAAATCATGAAAACTCATTATCTCATTTAAACATAAATTCATCAAGGACATGCATATCATAATGAGACCATGGAAACACAATATCACACATGACTCTAAAACATGAAACAAGCCAAAAATGAACTCTTTGTCTTAGGCTTGAATAGGAATAGCAAGAAAGAGAATGAGGATATCGGGACTTCTCATTGGCCATTGGACTCCCAAGTAGCACCCTCAACTATAACTCCTACCAAAATACTACTCCTCAACATTTTCATGGAAACATCTTCCTTATTCTTTTGTTTCTTAACTTGCCGGTGTAAGATCCCAATTGGTACTTCTAAACTAGGAAAGTTCCTATTAAATAACTCTTACTCACAAACAACCTTACCAACATCACTCAAGGTCTCATATGAGTCTACCAAACTGGGTCTAAATTTCTTCATACTCACTACATCTCTTATGGTGAGAATTTCAAGAAAACCTTTCTCATGAACATCAAGGATACTCAACGACCTTACCATCTAAGTACATTATCTCTCCCTTGGGAGAAAGCCTAGAGAAACTCTTTTAAGCATCACTTTTTTCAATTCTAAGATCGAAGCAAGTCAACACTAAACCTTCACACTCATCCCACAAGATGATTCTAAACCAAGGTGAAATACACTTGTACCATTCTTAGAGGAGTCTACTCACTTCACACATCTAGGTATTTCCAAAACACCATATTCATCAAATCTTTCAACACACCTCTAAACTCATCATGACTTTCTACCAAC